GGTCCAGCGCCGCGGCTCCCGCGGCCCCCGACTCCGGCGCTCCGAGACTGTTTTGCACTTTTCATTCAATCCCACCCCCCGTCACTTCCTTCAGAAAACAGAAACCACCAGGACCTGCCTTAAAGAGACCGCACACCTCTCGGCCCTTAAAGGGCCCGCGGCGGCTCCCTGCACTCCGGCGGCAGCCCAGGGAGGGGGCGGGCCGGGCGGGGGCGGGGAGAGGGGACCGCCGATCAACGGCTTTGTGGGAAAAGGGCTTTCTCAATCTCCCTCCCTCCCTGCCGCGCCCCGTCAGCCACCGGGCTGTGTCAGGAGTTGGCTCTCGGGCAAATCCCTTCCTCCCAGCAGGGGCGGGACGGGTGACTTTTCCCCCACCCCCGTTTTTTTTGGCTTGTTCTTGTGCCACGTGGATGAAATAATAGGGCTTGGTGTTTTAGGGGTTTTGTTTGGTCTTTTAGTTTCTCTGACACAGCGAATTTCTATAAAGCTTCTGCAAAATCAGATCTCGCCTCGCACCCAGCCTTTCGACCGCCCTAGGTGGGGAGAGAGGAGGTGGGGTTCTTGCCCTGCTTTGACATCCGTCAGGTGTGAGATTTTGATAAGTCAGGCCACCTCTCTGGACACGGCCCCTGCAGCTTTTCTTTTCAGTCCGACCTCCCTCTCTTCCCCATTCACCGCCTTTCCTCAGTCCTGCCCGCCTCCACAGATCCCCATTCTCTCTCCCAGTAATAGGCTGAGCAAATCCAGGGAATGTTAGATTCCAGGCCATTCTGGAGAATGTCCAGGGACTCAGGACACTGGCTTGACCATCAGGGCCTCTCCCACAAGCCCCGAGAAAATATGACTCTGCTGCCATGCGCCTCAACAATGAACAATGAAGGCAGGAGGATCTGGATTCCTACTTCCTTTGTTTAGTTGCGTGCTTTGGGCACGTTTTTAAAATTCTTTGGGTCTAAGTGTCCCCCTGTGTATAGTGGGAGTTGCTGAGACCTAAAAGTCCTGCCAATCCCAGGGAAGAGAAAGCCCCAGGGGGATGATGCTGGGAATGTATTGTTCCCAATGTCCATTTCACTTCTATTTATTCTAGGTCTACCTATTCTTTCCAAGAGCTTGGTTGCAGATGGTTGAATATTCTCCTCTGCTCTGCAATTTCCTTGTCTTCTAGGTTTTCCCCAGCACAGGGTTCTTATCAGCACCAAAGATGCTCACCACAGGTACCCAGGCACCCAGATATTGTGAGGGCACCAGGAGCAGAGCCACATGCCCTTGAACTGCCATGTCAGGCCTAGAACCCCTCTACTTAGTGCCAACCCAGGGCTCTTCCTACCACATTTGCTTTGTAAATTTAGGACTGAAAGGGATTCAAGAGATTATCTAACTCAGTGTTTTCCAAATTTGCCTTACCAAAAGAATCACCTGGGTGCTAGTGAAAACCACAGATACCTGGGTCCCTAAATCTATTTAATCAGACTCCCCAGGGAAAAGGACTGAGCGTTTGCATTTTTAACGAGGGATCAGGTGATGCTTGATATAAGGGGTGGAGAGCTGGTACCTGACAGAGAGTTAACCATAGAGGATCTAAAACAAACAGCATCTTTCCTGGGGAACCATCTAGCCCCTAAGGAGTTTATCTTCACATCAGGGAGATAAGGCAGGCTGTCAGAGAAGGATGGATTAGCACAAAGACTGCTTCCCTAGGGCCTCCCACCCTGAGCTGGCAGAACTGAAGAAGAGAGATGCCCAGGGTCTCAAAACTGGCCTCCTGCCTGACAGGATACTCACCTCAGTCCAGCCTTAAAGCTAGGTCTTCCCGTGAGTCAGCCCACACAGTCATTAGGGCCTCACCCACATTTCCTAACTAACTTCCCCTGTTTCAGGTCCTGTCCCCCATCCATCATCAGCTCTGCCCCCAGCCATCTTCCCAGGCCCCTTCCCCTTCACCCCAGTGAGATCTCAGAAGAAATAAGCAAAGAAGCCCTGTGTGTCTGGTTTCTTTGTTGGGGTCTCTGAGGCTGTCTTTGTTTCTATTTAAAATCTGGGTTTGGAAACAAGGATGGAAGATCTCATCTCTTTCCACCACCTCTTCCCCATAATCAACTTCCTTTTTTTGTTCAACCACAGATCAAACTGGATGTTTCTTCTAAGACAGAGAATTTTAAGTCTCACTCCAGTATGTGAGCCCTACCTCTGTCCCTGTTCTTTCCTTTTGACTTTGCCTGACCAGCTCTTCAGGACAAAACTCGAGTTTCCCGGGAAGATTTTCTCCGCTACTGACCTACGGCTCCGCTCCGTGCTGGTCTCTCCTGCCTCTGGACTCTAACAATAACCTTTATTACAGCAGCCACCATCCACTGTATCCTGATTACGTCCAAGTACCGTGCCAAGCACTTTGTATGTATCATCTTATTTAATTTTCATGGCAACCCTCCAAAGTAGGTTCTATTCTTAGCCTCTTTTTACTGACTAGGAAACCGAGGCTTAGAGAGGTTAAGTAATGTACCAAGGTCATACAAGTAGGAGAGCCAGCAGGGACTCAAACACACCTCTGCCTGACCACAAAGCCCTTGCCTTTAACCCCAGTAGCATCCACCTGCCAGTAGTCCTTGCTTTCTTTCAGCCCCATTCAGGCACACATCCTGTGCTATCTTCTCCCGTCATCTAACGGTTTCATGTGTGGCAATCTTGTACCCCAGTGAGTTCAAACAGGCTAGCCCTGTGCTGGGAACACAGAGTGCTTCCCTTCAACCAGCCCGGCTTAGAAGCATCCATTCATCTCACTTGTAAAGAGCCTCGGAGGAAGAGCCGTAACAAGCCTAATTACCCTGACGACAGCCAAACAGCCCTCATTGTCAGAATGGTCTTGGTGTCTGATTGCAAGCCCTCTGCACACCATAAACCAATTTCCTTTCCTTTCCTTTCTGATCTCTAGCTCTAGGAGAGCCGTTGAGAGTAGTGGTTCAGAGCAAGAGCACCAGGATCTCGATCTTGGAGCTTGGCCACTGGAGAGCTGTGTAATTCAGTGAGCCGATTCCTTCATCTGTGAAATGGGCGCAAAAATGCTTCCCTCACTGGGTTGTTTTGAAAACTAAATGAAATATTGTGTACAAAACACTACACAACATGTTTGGCACAAAGTAAAGTCCCCATAAATGGTGGCTATTATTGTTTAATACTGTTGATTCTCTCCCGTTATATCAAATATTAAATCCCTGTGTGGCCTACACATGCCCCCTCCTCCCCTGGCCCACCCTCCAGACACACAGACACACATACTCATTCAGGGACACTTTTCCTCTTCATTCTCTTTAGGTCTTCCAGTTTTATGCTGCTTGAGGCCTCTGAAACTGGGAAGCGGGCGGCCAAACCTTAGGAGGCACCTCCCCTCTGCTTTTCCATCTTAGCGTGCCTCCATTTGGCAGGAAGAGAAATGCCACGCCATCTCCCAATTTGTGACCAAGAAAACAAGTGCTGACAGAGTCCTGCAGAAAGCCCAAAGGGAAACTAAACCAATATCCCCTATCTGGGGATGGGGAGGATGCGATAGGGAGCTTGTCTTTGCAAGAGTGGAAAGATTTTTCTTTCCATTTCTTTCCGTGGCTCGTGTTTGGTTTCAGTTATGTTACAGACCCCCGTTACTGGACGCTTGCAGATGGGGCTACTTGTGCTTTGAGTCTGAGGGGGAACTGGGAACGGGATGGGGTGCTCTCCTCTGCCTCTCGAGGCCAACTGCAAAGCTCCAGTCACTTCCCTGCCCAAGCAGAGTGCAAATTAGTTTTACAGTATCACACAATTACTCAGTTACATAAATCCAAGGGCGTGGTGGGAAAGTGAACTGGAGAGGCAGCGGGCTGGGAGAGAGAGTGGAAAAGGAAGAGAGGCCGGGACAGCTGGATGAGCAGCCATTCTCCCCAGGCAGAAGTCCCGGCAGAGGGCAAGCTTAGGTAGAATTGGGCTGGATCGATCAATCAATGACTTTTAGGCAGGAAAAGGAAATTTGAATTATCAGAACTGCGAGAATAGGTACATCCTAGCTCATTGATTCCAGGCCCGTGACTCTTGAAGGTCCCAAACAACGATCTTCTCCATGCTAGTCCTTCCAGGGAGCCTTTCCTGTTCCCCTACCTGGACACATTCATTCATTCATTCATTCACTCCTCCAGTCGGTCAGTCAGCCAGTCAGTCATCTAGAGTCAGACACTGTGCTAGATGCTGTAGTTACAGCAGTGGAACAAGGCAGATGCAGCAATTCCTTATTCTGCTGCAACGGGAGCAGCATTAATAAAATAAGTGCAAAAACAAATATTTAAATGACAATTGTCATAACTGGTACCGTGGAGAATTAGAGGAACTCTAGCCTAGACCAGAAGGCCTGGAAAGGCAGGAACGCCTAGGGCGACTAAAAAGATGAATCAGGCTCGACCAGCAAAGATAATGTTCCAGGCAAAGGGAACAGCTTGTGGAAGGGGCCTGCGTCTGGTGGGTGCCCCAGAAACTTCTCCAGGTACCTGAGGCGTGAGAAGGGAGGAGAACATCTAGAAACAACGCAGGAGAGTTTGGCAGGGGTGAAGTAATGCAGGGCCTTGTAGGCAATGTTAGGATGTGGGTTTGGGTTTACTTTCCTGG